TATACGCAGCCGACTGAACAGTGATTTCAGGGATTTTGGCAGTATTTGAGCATATTTTCTGGAGGTGACATAAAGGTCAACATCCATATCTGGCAATTTTGACACAACTATCACACCAGCAAGGCGATTGCGGATATGAGACAAAAATCATTCGGCCTTCTGATGGTGGTGAGCAATATGTTCACCATCATCATGATTTAGACAAAGGGGGGGTGGTCAACTCATGTCCAAAATAAATCAATTTTGGCTTTCCTTGAGTCTATAAGCTCAATAAATTTTGAGCTGGAACTTAGCTCATTTATGAGCTGGTTTTTAGTTCATTTATTGAACTAAAGGTTAGCTCATTATTAGCTAGGTTTTAGTTCATTTATTATCTTATTTATGTAGCTTTATCTTTTAAAATTCTATGTTTGTCCCTTGGGATTCCAAAATCGCTTTTGGAATCCCAAGACAATGTGTTTTCCCATGCCATGGCTCCTTGGCTTCCACGGGTGGCTGTTTTCCGTGCAAGGCTCCTTGGTTCTCACGGTGGTTGTTGGTTTTTCGAGCTTGGGGAGTTTTCCCATGGCTTTGGCGCCTCGGTTCCGTGCAGCTCCTTTGGTTCCCGTGGTTGCTCCTTCGGTTCCTGGGCTGGGCTATTTTCCGTGAATGCATTGGGGGATTTCCGTGCTTGTGTTGCTTGGATTCGTGTGTGAATTCAATGCCGTGTCCTTTTGTATTCTCTTCTCATACCTATATATATGAGAGGTTTTGTAATGTTTTAAAGTTATGTTATGTGAATGATTTTTGGAAATGTAAAACTGCGGGTTTCGTTGGAATAGCATGCGAGCTTTGTCCACTCCTTCTCATCCCCTCTGGAAATCTTGCGAGCTCTTTCCACCCTTCGTCTTGGCTTCTAACCTCTTTCGTCTCTCCGCAAGTTTACACCTCACATGTATCCTTCTTCTCAAAGTTATAAGAGCCGATGGTTATAAGTCTTTTTATATAAAGTTGTGTTTTATAGTATTTGTGTTCTTTTAAGCATCTTATATCTTTATTTTGTTCATAGAAGAGTTGTCTTTTTGTGATAAAAAAATAAGGGTCCCCCTTATTTTTTGATTGCATCACATCATAACTATGTTGCTATTGCAACGGATATAAATGACATAGATAACAAGGTTCATTAAAGATTAGCAATTTCTTTAGAGCACTTTCCATCATAGAAATTAATCTAACAAATGTGCCAAAAATGAGCTTTACATCTACACTTAAAAAGATATTACAACTTTTCTCTAAAATGTTCTTTATATCATCAATAAATGACCAATCATACCATTCCTAATAATGTAGGAAGGGTGGGTGGTATTCTGAAAAATGGATGATGTCCTCTATGGAGAGGATATATGATGATTATTATGATTGGTTTGAACTAGAATGAGTGATAGTAATATGGTAATTCCAAAGTTGGTCAAGAACAACATTCTAGTTTTATATTTGGTGGCTCATGCTTGAACAGGAATGGGTATGGCCGAGGGGTTGGATGGCAGGTAAGAGTTTTGTTATATTTGGAGTGAAGTGTGGCAGCTTATAAAAGTGATGTGCACGGCTAGGTTTTGATTTGGAGGAAAACTAAGAAAAACAACAAATGAGGGTTTTACGTGGAGATGGAACGATGGCTTAGAGAGTGTTAGTAATATTTTTTTTTTCCTTGTGGTAGTGACGGTGGAAGCCGAAGATATAAGATAAAAATAAAGTGTAAATGGCTGTAAAAGATGGAATGCAGCAATGGTGAGCCTTGAGCCGCCATGGAGATGGAAGCATCAAATCTTCCATGAATGGAAACCACAATCAATGGTGAAGAGGGCATCATTCGCCTTTTCAAAGAGAAAAGATGAATTTAGATTCATGAAACAAAAACAATACACTTCATAATATTATCTCTCACCGAAGAAATCAAATCATTAAGTCATCGAAACCACCCAGCCACCATATAACTATTTACCAATAAGTGGAGAGAAGATAACTAAATTGGCATACACAATCAAAAGCTCTGTCTTTCATTCATTTCCATCCTACTTACTCAAAACATTGAGAACTATATAACACAATTCAAAATAAAATTACAACATTCAAATTCAAATTGGGCCGAGCTAGCCTTCCTCAAATTGACTAGCGAAGGCGTCTAAGCCTCCAATTGGGTGATTTTAGCTTCCAATGACTTGGTGACATACACTAGATACAATATAAAAGTTTGCATGTTGTTTGCAGCATATTTGGATTCTAATTTAGCCAATCTAATCAAGATTGTGTGCCAATTTGATCTTATTGAATTGCTTTGAATGCACTAATCAAATAGGGAGTTTTAATAATCCTAATATCAATCCTCTCATTATAAGTTGTCTCGATTTTTAAGTTCAAAAATATATTTTCCTATAATTAGTTTTGTTGTGCACGCAACAAAAAATTGCATCAACATGAATTTCCCCCTAGGTCATGAATCACGTTATTTCCCCTAGTTGAAATCCATTTTATAAGAAGGCACTAACCTTTATAGGCAAAGGAGAAGCTTTCGACAAAAATTCACTATAGGATGCCACCGAAATGTGCGTATAAAGATCATACACATTTGGTAGAGTCCATTGGAGCTTAAAACAATAAAATTGGGTTTGGAACATCTAAAATGATATTGAGGTGTTTGCAAACCTCCTAAAGCTGGTAGATAAGAGCTCAGATCAAGCTAATGAAGTTAATCTGACCCAATAAGCCATTTCCTAGGATAGGAAGCTAACACGTTCAAAAATATAAGAATAATGGAGGGAACTCTAAGTGGAGGTCCATGCAGCCTTCACCATTAATGGTAATAAATAAAAGAAGCTAATTTCCTCCCCATCAATGCTAAAAAAAAACTCGCATGTTCAGAAGGCTATATGGGAATCTCTTTCAAGAAAAAGATCAACAAATTATGCTGCTTCAAGAGGAAATGCACCCAAAAAATTTTAAGAGGAAGAGGCTTTAGATCCCTAATGTTGGAGAATTTTTGTTATTCTCAAACAGATTGCATACTTTATGATTGAATACGGCATAAGAATGATGATATATTATCCCGAAGGGTAAAAATATCATTTCCTTATGGACTCAATGATAAAATTTACAATTTTAAACAGAGATTCCCCTATTTGATGTTTGGTCGAATGGGATTTATTTATTTCTGTGGTACATACGTCCCATAGGGGCAAGCCCCTATGGTTAATTACATCTCAAGCTTTGATGCTTGAGAAAACTTTTGATTAAACTAGTGTTTTTTTTAAGCCATTTAAATGCTTCAGCCGCACGCTGGAGCCCTGGTTTTGATGTTTGGTCAAATTATGCCTCTCCTTTGCTCTCGCCCACTCGAACTTTCTGTTTTCGGAACGGACAGCAGACGGGGGAGCCAAATGAGGCTCCCCTCTTCCTCTCGTGCTCTTAGGGGTGCACGCACGTAACAGGGAACCGCCCAAATGTGCCTATGAGCTTCCTCGTTGCATGAAACGAGGGAAATTGTACTTGAGTACATTTCCTGCATGATTGGACACAAATTTGGGTAGGAATTGAGATGAGATCTCAGCCCTAAGTCTCAAATTTGATTTTGAGACTCAATCTAGCCCAAATTGACTGATTTGGGCTAAAATCGAGTTCGAATTGACCTTGACTTGGATCAAATTAGGTCCGATCGAGTTAATTTCATGAAATTAAACTCAAATCGGCGCCGAATTACGTCGAATTGGGCTCGACGACGCTCGACGGGGTTAGGCTAGATTTGATTTGGTTTTAATTAAATAAAAAAAGAATTTAATTTAACAAAATTAAGGTTTGATTTAATGAAATTAAATTTAATTTCAACGATTATCCCGAAGGGTAAAAATATCATTTCCTTATGGACTCAATGATAAAATTTACAATTTTAAACAGAGATTCCCCCATTTGATATTTGGTCAAATGGGATTTATTTATTTCTGGGGTACAGACGTCCCATAGGGGCAAGCCCCTATGATTAATTACATCTCAAGCTTTGATGCTTGAGAAAACTTTTGATTAAACTATTATTTTTATTTTTTTTAAGCCATTTAAATGCTTCGACCGCAATCTGGAGCCCTTGTTCCGCCTGGTGGAGTCGCGCGCAAAGTGGGGGGGGGTGTTTCCGCCTCTCCTTTGCTCTCGCCCTCTCGCACTTTCTGTTTTCGGAACGAACAGTAGACGGGGGAGCCGAATGAGGCTCTCCTCTTCCTCTCGTGCTCTTAGGGGTGCACGCACGTAACAGGGAACCGCCCAAATGAGCCTATGAGCTTCCTCGTTGCGTGAAACGAGGGAAATTGTACTTGAGTACATTTCCTGCATGATTGGACACAAATTTGGGTGGGAATTGAGATGAGATCTCAGCCCTAAGTCTCAAATTTGATTTTGAGACTCAATCTAGTCCAAATTGACTGATTTGGGCTAAAATCGAGTTCGAATTGACCTCGACTTGGATCAATTTAGGTCCGATCGAGTTAATTTCATGAAATTAAACTCAAATCGGTGCCGAATTACGTCGAATTGGGCTCGACGACGCTCGACGGGGTTCGACTAGATTTGATTTGGTTTTAATTAAATTAAAAAGAATTTAATTTAACAAAATTAAGGTTTGATTTAATGAAATTAAATTTAATTTCAACGAATTAGGGTCGAATCGAAGTTATTTGACGCTCAACAATGGTCGATTTAGCCGATCGAGTGCGATCGAGCCAAATCGGGTTAGAATCCGCTCGGGTCGATGCGAAAATGTTCATCAACACCTAAGCCGTACAAATTAGATGATCAGCGACTCACCATATATTTAAGGATTGGGTGATCAGCGACTCACCATATATTTAAGGATTGGGTTGAACATAAGTACCAGCTCGAAGATGTCCAACTCTTCAATAGATTTCTAGTCCACCCAAAGATGAGCTAGATGATAAACAAAAGCATCATTTCTCTTACAACATGCATGCACAGTATAGTACTTTTCATTGCATATTTACACATTAAAATTATAGTGATATTATTTAGTTTATACTCAGAATACCTAGAAATGCATTTGCCCGTAGTCCCTATCTTTTAATCTGTCATTTTTTGTACATTTTGCACACAATTATGCAGCGTGAAGATGGTGGAAACTAGGTTGACAAAACTTCTTAAAGCCACACAAACTGATTGCCACACAAACTGATTGCTAAACATTAAAATGAGAATACAAAAAAAAAACTTCACCTACCATTAAATTACAATATGCTGCAGAATACATGAATCAATCGTCGTCACTTTCATCACTGTAGGATACCAAACTCCCGAGTGTGCTCACAGGAAGATTATCCAATGGCAACTTCTCCTCAGTAGAGCCTTCAGATGGAATTATTAAATCTTCGAATTTCTCAGAACCACTTGCAGTGGTTTCTATTTTAGCTTTCTTTGCTTGGGGCTTAACCGACATGATGAAATTTCCGGGCCTCTTATTCATGCTCCTCTTCAATGCATGTCCGCTCTCCTACAAAAGAAGTAACAATATATAATTCGCTATTAAGCATTCAACAAGACTAGAGAAAAAAGCTGAACAAATGTCCTAAACTAACTGCAGCTTTTCGTACAGTAGGATTCTCCTTAAGCTTGTGAACTATGGAGGCTCGACTTGCTACTGCTTCCTGCAAACAGGTTACACGGCAAAGCATAAATGCAATGAAGAAACTATTAAAGCGTGATTTGGACATTAAAGAGGTTTAAAATTTACTTGGAAAGAGCGAAGCTGCTTGGCATCATCATCTGCTATTTGCTGCTCATACTCCTTTCTAGACTGAAAAAAAAACAAAAATAACATAACTCGGCATAATGAAAAGACAACAATTTCAATTGATGCAAGTTATGGCCACAATTGAATGAGAGCCACAGCTAAAATTAGCTGATATAAAATGCATAATTTAGATTCATCAAAGAAAATTATTACAGGAAACAACATGCAAAGCTGCCTTATTCACTTTGAAAGTAAAAACGGCTCTCAACCACATAGGGAAGATCTAAACCGACTTAATAGATGCAAAAATAGAAAAAGCATCAGCGATGTTTGTGCTGAAACATCTTGAAATAAATGAAAAGCAGTTACGAAAAATAATAAACTCATTATGCGTAGATATTCCAGAAGAATGGTCCCTTTGATGGCCAGCATCTACCAGCATAACCAATTAGCAAATGGCTACCCATGCTCACCATCTCCAGTTTCTCTAAAAATTCTATCTCATCCTCATCCAGAGCTTTGGGAGGTCCTGTGATGAAACAAAATAACCAAAAGCATAATCCATTCAGCAACAGCACATGAAGCTTTCAATAAGGATGCAAAATAATACTTCAACGCCCAGCTTAAAAAGTTTAAAAAAAAAACCTTCTATCACAAACGTTAAAATAAATACACTACCAAGACACTCAAAATTTGGAAGGCATCAGGAAAATCTACTAAATCTTACCTCGAGGCTCATTTGGTTACATGAAGTTAGAAAACAAATGACGCAAATCTGGAAACTGTTACCTGGAATTTCTTTCATTAATTTTTACTGTAACCACTAATTGGAACCGTCTTTAAAATTGCTAATTGTCAAACTTCGTATTTGTTGCTTTGTTGCCTCTTTCTTCCTTATATGGATGAATTCAAACGGAAACCATGAAACCCAACAGATTTCTGCTGTTCAAGTGTTGCGAGTCTCGGCACTTGCAGTTTTAGACTTGAATGTAGATTATTATGACGAATTTCTCATTTTAGAACATTGAGTATTGAAATACAATACCAGTTTTCCTCAACTATTACGTATGTGTTAGTTGAATGTGCATACTTCAAATGCTTCACAGGTGTCGATGACTACTTCTAGAGGCAAGTTTCATTGTATTGTCATGAGGCAAGGACCTTCTTGGGTGATTTCTATCAACTTTCTTGTCATAAATTTATTTAGTGACTGACGCACGTGCATATTTGAAGTTTTGTCAAGAGAGATGTGTGTCAAATTCTTTATCATGCTGAGTATTGAACAAAACAGAAATTTTATGTATGTTCGATGTTTTTCTTACCAACAGCTATTAAATTATCTTTTGATGTGAAAGAAGCATCTTTGTTGTCGTTACATCAAAAGTAACTAATTTTTCAGATTTTTTTTATCGTGCGTCTCATCTTAGGTTATATTGGTGTGGGATCCAAAAATTAGTGCCCCAGCCTCTCCGTGCCTACTTTGTTGACAGGGAGAGTTTTAATGAATTTAGGTTTCATGTAAATTTTCATAAGGCATATTAAGTTTTAGATAAGACACTTTCATTTTGTATCTGAGTTCTGGTTTCTCATAGGCGCTTACCCCTCCCGATGACGAGAGAGAACTTTCGATTAAGGCTAGTCGTAAGAGAGGCACCGAGTACCCAAAGTATAGCAGCAACGATTTTAGAGTTTGAATTTAATATTCGATTTTGGGGTTTATTATTTGAAATTTATCACTGTATACTTAAAACGGGTGATGGGGGGAATGAAGACGAGCCCGATCAAGATCCCATGGCTCTGTTGTCCCGGGTTGTCATGGATCCTGGACTACTTAGTCAGAGGAGGTAGTCTACCCAACCTTACAGAAGAAATCTTCGGCAGCCTTAGGTTGTTTCGTCTAAGGACACCTTGTAGACATGGGGTAGTATTTGTCTAAAAAGATATATTTGAGTTCACTTTAACTAACAAAAGGATTTTATGCCTGTAGAGTACATCCTATAATTCATTATTCAAGGACTTAAACCCGTCAGGGAACATACGGGTTTTTGACGTGATTGTAATATATTAGTGCCATTTTACAGCAAAATCACGCAATCAAATGGCATCTGCCACGTCCCTGCTGGCGAGAGATCATTTGAGAGTGAATCTTAATGATACACCCGACACAACATTCACTCTTTGTGAGCTGAGGTTAGTTTCAAATTTACCACCCTAACAAATGATTGCAAAAGGCAGATGAATTTTAATTTTAAGTTTTTGGTGATTCAATTTTCATTTAAATGTTTAGGATTTAAAAAATATTAAATTTTAAAATTTTAATAGGCTTTGAAAATTGAGCCCTCTTGTTAAGATCTACATTCAACACGGCCATCATCGAGGTGACGACAAATCACTTTAAAATATTTGTATTTTGATTTGGGGTTTGAGTATTTTGAAAATAGGATCCCTTCTGGTTGGGAATTTCTATCAACACGGCTATCATAGAGGTGATTTTACAATTTTAGTAAATCCGTAAATCCTTCTAAGATCCTATATTTAGGAGGCTAACATAAAGATTGGCATACATGCTGAGGATATTTTAGCGTATCAAAGCTATAGCATGGATGTTTGAACACATTTAGTGAATCCGCAAAAAATTCTCAGATCTTGCATGTAAGAGATTGACACAAAGATCGGAGCACATGTGGAATATGTTTAGTTTCAAAATATATTTTTATATTAGTGAGCATTTAACCCCGCTCAACATTCTCAGACATTTGTATTTGCAACTTTAGCACATTTGTCGGAGCACATGCGGGATGTGTTTTCAATATATAGATTGGAGCTATTATAAATGTAACATCTTTTGTCTGTTTGTACAAGTGTTGCGAATCCAGTGACGTACATTATCGACGAATTTTGTTTCAAAAAAGATGTCTTTTGACATTTCAGATAACTCTTTGCCTTCTTTGTAATCATTCAGGCTTATGTTATTTTCATAGTCCAATAATTGTGCATGTATTAGCATTGTGTACTCTCTTTGCTCTCCTTTTTGCTGCAATCTATGTTTTCCCGGCCTCCGCAATCTTTCCAAATATAGAATTTCATTGATCATATTACGAATTCCTCATAATTATGCCTTATATTAGTAATGTCAACTGGTCAGTCGAGCCTCTCTTCTCTCCTTTTGTAACTGCAGTTTAAGATAGACTATCCTCATTCTTGTTGAAAGACATGGTTGCAAACTGATCATCTGATTCTTGTTCTCCACTTATCTTCGACTTGAGATTATGTTTGAATTCAATCATCAAGTCTTCTGATTTAGGCAATCTCCAACCAAAAAACTCAATTTTCACTCCAAAATACAATAATACAAAAAAATGTAGTAACTTATCATCAATCGAACTCCATTTTATAACACCAAAAAAAATGTTATATCTTAAATAAATTAATTATGTAAAAAATATTTTAATTTCTAAAAAATAATGTGCTTATAAATTATTATTTCTTAATTATTAATAAAAAAACTATACACTTAAAAATTAAAATTAATAACCTAATTTTTTGATTTAAAAAAATAGCACCCTCACCCGATTAGCGATTTTTTGTCTTTCGAATGGAGCAAACCAGCGACGCCTTACAGTCATTTGAAGTTCGCCTGAAGATGCTCTTAGCAAGGGTTTTCCCTGCAGTTGCATTTTGAATGGTATGCTTTTGACCAACTAACATCAAGCTTGCAATTTCCTTCACTAGAATAAGATGACGAACCAGCCACTGTGAAAAAGTTTTCATTTTCCATAAGACTCGCAGACATATTAGTTGTAAAAATAGCTGAAACCACAAGTAATCTTGTTATTGTTGAATTTGTATGCAACACGCCCATTTATAGAACAATGAAGACTAAAATTTTCTCTCAAGCCAATTTTATTATGATTGTCCATAAAACTATTCAAATCCGCATTGTTTAAACTACTATAAATTTTATTAGAAACATTAACAAATACATTGGATGAACTTCCCTTTAGATTTGAATCTATATCGTTAAGTTTCTCTTCATCCTAATTTCTTGCATTTACATGTATTGACTTTGCTTCAATCATATGAGTTTCACGAGTGTGGTCTTTTTTTTATTAAAATTACACAATTATTTATTTTATTTCTTAAATCATATAAAATGACAAATTTTTATTTGAAATTAATTATGTCAGGGCTCATTGTTTTGTTCAAAATTTTGACAACCTCCCGACATCCCTTCCCCTCGAGGGTAGGTTGGGGAGGGGATGTCGGGAGGGCACTTGCCCTTTTAAATCCATCCGACTAAATAAGATTCAACGGTCGAGGGCTTTAAGAGGGCATTGACTGGTCCCGGCATAAGTCTTTAAGTCATTAATTACGCACAATACATGTTAATTTAATTTAAAAATTTTCTTTTTCAAATCCCTTAAAAATTCAGCAACCTTTCGGTGCCCCCTCCCCGCAAAGGAAGGTTGGGAGGGCCTTGCCCTTTCAAATCCGCCCGACGGATAGGATTCAACGGCCAAGGGCTTCGAGACAGTGATTGGTCTCTTTTTTTTATTAAAATTACACAATTATTTTTTTTATTTTATTTTATTTCTTAAATCATATAAAATGACAAATTTTTATTTGAAATTAATTATGTCAGGGCTCATTGTTTTGTTCAAAATTTTGACAACCTCCCGACATCCCTTCCCCTCGAGGGTAGGTTGGGGAGGGGATGTCGGGAGGGCACTTGCCCTTTTAAATCCATCCGACTGAATAAGATTCAACGGTCGAGGGCTTTAAGAGGGCATTGACTGGTCCCGGCATAAGTCTTTAAGTCATTAATTACGCACAATACATGTTAATTTAATTTAAAATTTTTCTTTTTCATTTCCCTTGAAAATTCAGCAACCTTTCGGTGCCCCCTCCCCGCAAAGGAAGGTAGAAACATTAAAAAATACATTTGATGAACTTCCCTTTAGATTTGAATCTATATCATTAAGTTTCTCTTCATCCTAATTTCTTGCATTTACATGTATTGTCTTTGCTTCAATCATATGAGTTTCACGAGTGTGGTCTTTTTTTTATTAAAATTACACAATTATTTTTTTTTTATTTCTTAAATCATTTAAAATGACAAATTTTTATTTGAAATTAATTATGTCAGGGCCCATTGTTTTGTTCAAAATTTTGACAACCTCCCGACATCCCTTCTCCTCGAGGGTAGGTTGGGGAGGGGATGTCGGGAGGGCACTTGCCCTTTTAAATCCATCCGACTGAATAAGATTCAATGGTCGAGGGCTTTGAGAGGGCATTGACTGGTCCCGGCATAAGTCTTTAAGTCATTAATTACGCACAATACATGTTAATTTAATTTAAAAATTTTCTTTTTCAAATCCCTTAAAAATTCAGCAACCTTTCGGTGCCCCCTCCCCGCAAAGGAAGGTTGGGAGGGCCTTGCCCTTTCAAATCCGCCCGACTTATAGGATTCAACGGCCAAGGGCTTCGAGACAGTGATTAGTCTCGATAGGAGTCTTTGAGTCTTCAAAAATGCTCATCCCAACCCCCCCCCCCTCGCAAAGGGAGGTTGGGAGGGCACTTGCCCTTTCAAATCCACCAAGCCAGATATGATTCGGCGGTGGAGGGCTTTGGGACGTTAACTAGTCCCGGTACAGATCTTCGAGTCCTCAAGTGCTTGTGGTACCTATTAATTAAATATGATTTAATTTTAAAAATGCTAACTTTCATTTCCCTTGAAAAATCCGCCCCCTCCCCGCAAAGGGAGGTTGGGAGTTGGGAGGCACTTGCCCTTTTAATCTGCCCAGCCAGATAGAATTCGGCGGTCAAGGACTTCAAGATGTTGATTAGTCTCGGTACGAGTCTTCGCCTATCCCTATCGCGGTACCTTTTATACACAAGCTTGCCCTATACACTGCACACCCATATACTCACATGCAATGATTGGTTCGATCAAAAGCAGAGGGAGATCGTGGTTCAATACTAGATAGAGTCGCGAAAGAACGGGCATGAGGCCGGATCGCGAGCTGGGTAGTCGGGCCGAACGAGTGAGGTCGATTGGGTTGGATCGAGCAGCTAGGAGGGTAGAGAGAGTGGAATCAAGCACTGGGAGGACCGCGTGGGAGTGGATGCTAGGAAGTCGGGAAGTACAATCAGATTCAGGGTTTGGGTCGAGCTTGCAAGAGGCAAGCGGGTGTAGATCTGGCGGATCGGGCCGAATCTAGGTTCACGCGGAAGCAGGAGATATGGGTACTGGCACGAATTGGAGGCGAGCAAAGTCGTGCATGCGAACTGGATACGGAGTCGGCAAGGTCGGACGGGATCCGGAGCGTGCGTGGAGCAAAGGCGGGTTGCTGGTACGGACAGCCCGTTCGGCCATGTAATATCGATATGATGGGAGAGGGAGCGGGGTTCAGTTCTGAGAGAGCGTGAGAGTTTGAATGCCTGGGGAGGAAGTAGAGGGAGGTCGGGCTTCGGCTTCCTTGCATGCGAGAGACTCTAAATGGTCTAGCGTTCGATTTCTACCGTGTGAGGGAGTTTTTGTGTCGTGGGAAAGTTACATGAGATCGTGGGATCGTGATGTTTTGTGAAGTGGGGCTGGGGCCTGGGCTGGTGGTTATAGGTCAACAATTGGTAAACACTAAACCCTTAATAACCAGCCCTACATCAAATAGCTATCATAGCTACTGTTGCAGCATGATGTCAACTGTATAATACTTGGGCCCGTAAAAAAAATTTAATAAAAGACAACTCTAAGAAAAAAGCAACTACTCTAGGGCTCTAACTAAACTTAGTATAACCACCATGAGGATCTAAATTTTATTCATAAATTTTATGAGATATAATCTTGGAATTTTTCAAACAAGATCAATAATTAAGAATAGTTTCATATTTTTAATAAATCTAATTTCAAAAAGCTTGAATGTAAGTGAAACTAAACTTACATAGGTTAATAATCCAAAATATAAACTTAAATAACAATATCTATAATTCAGTGCACAATGATCAATTATATGAACAACTTCAGCAGCGTAAGATAAGTGAATATAGATTATTTGTTTCATTAAAATCATTCAGCTCGATATTTGATATGAATTAAGCTAAAATTCATCCAAAAATCCTAAATGAGAATTTATCCATATCATTGGACGTGTTGAAGCACATTATGAACATTATTATATTAGGAACACTACATCAATAATTCAAGATCCTAAAGAAAAATCATTAGCTTCAACCTCCGAGCGTAATATCAAAATGACTAGAAATGCATGATGAATTAAAGGATTGTTGAAGGGATGAGGTTTTGATTAACTAAATTACCAATTAAAAGAATTTCAAGCAAAAATAGGCTAAATGATCCATAAGATAAGTTAAATTAAAGTCCCTATAGATAAATCATTATCTTCTTCTCTCAAAACTTTAAAACATACGACAGGAAAATCATACTTAGTCAAATATAATCTTATCAAAGAAATTGTAGTTCATGAATATTCTTTTAAAGATGAATTAGATGATGACTTGTGGTTACAATTGCATTACTTCAATGTTATTGAATTTGAATATGTACCACTATTAGAAAATGTCCATGAACCTGAACTTAGTCTTAAACAAGTAGAAATTTGTGTCTACAGTTAAGAGCATGAGATCACATCTAAATCAAAATTTGAGCCAAACATTTCACTTGAAATCATATTTGGACGGGATATAGCATGTTGTCCTCTACCCTTGGTTAATCATCTCAGGAACAAAAGATCAATCCTTAAAGGATATATATCAAAACAAATGTCAGATATGGAATAAAATGCACAACGAAAGTCACACAGTGTGACATCCACCTATCCACCTATATGCTTTAGGGCATCTCGCTTCCATAGCTGAATTATTCATTTCATACCTCTATCGCATGGACCACGCTTTGTGACTCCAAGCCAATTATAAAATATATTTAGTCAGGCTAAGTCTTTGAAGCATAGTTGATCATGTCCATGTACCCCTGAACCATGATCAACCTTGCTTTGTACCCATAAACATTTTCGATCCAGTAATAACTCTAGACCTTATCATGAGAAGATTTCTCCCTCTACATACCACCACCTCAATCTCTTCAGATTACTTCCGAGGAAAAAACTTATCGTTGCAAAGAAGGCTCCTTGAAAGATGAAGATTACCTATAAAGCGCAGTTGACATCCTACAAATAGGAATATAATTAACCATAAGCACTTACTCCCACAAGTGATTCCTAATAATTAAAAAGAAATCTTGATCTACTCCATCAACTGATAAAGTGAAATCTCTAAGAACCTGATAGGAAATACTTGATTTCAAGTATTTCCTAATCACTCTGGCAACAAATCACAAATCCAACCGCTGTCCACAGCAGAAAAACAGCCCAAATCTGAAGAAAAACAGAGAAAAACAGCGGAAAACGTGGAGAAAAGACTTGTATTTTACTAATAGATGCAAAGAAAATAGCAAAGATACAAGGATCCTCTATTCGAGAGGAGGATCGCACTCTCCCAATCTCTAGAATTCGATCTAGAGCCCAAGCAACCAAAGAAGACAAGAAAATTTCACCCAAAACATGACATAACCCTAATTCCCCCCTTTACTCCCTACTTAATGCATAAAATTCAAATCTAATACAAAAGGACCTAATTGCCCTTGCTTCTCCTCCTTTTGGCTCCAAAATTCCCTTTGAAATTCAAGTGGACCCCATCGAATCCTCCCCCCTAGCTTCCGCCGGCTTCCTCCGCCTGTATACGCGCCGAACCGGCCCAAGGTGCTGGGCCGACTGGACCGGTCCATGGAGGACCGGTCTAACAGAACCTTAACTCAAAATGCCCGATGAAATCTCAAGTAGCTCTTTTTGAAACTCCAAAAGTTGAAGGAATGCTTCAAAAAACTGCATTAACCTTTCAAACCCTTAATCCGCATATCTAGAACAGCTAAGTCAATCAACTTGACTTCATTTAACCTAAATTTCCTTATTACTAATTAAATATATAGAACTTATGATTTGTAATTTTTTTTTTTATTATTTCTGTAAAGTAACCCGCATTGTAGGATTGTTCTTCTTGTATAACTACAATTGTTTATCCCAAGAAAGAGTCCCTTTGCTGCTGTGATTTCTATGATAAGTAGTGTTACTCCAATAGGCGCTTATCCTTTCTATTTGTGATCTTCAACAGATTCCTGGCCAAAACTTCCCAAAAAATTCCACAAGTCAACAACCATAATTAAAGCGATAATATAAACAAGTTTTACAAATAACCATACATTAGATAAGCAAAGAACACAGAACTGTACGGTTGTTTCTAAAAGAAACACACGCCTCACTTATACAAGACAATTTTTTTGGCTTGCCTCTCACTTCCATTGATTAAAAAGGACATTGGCTTCGCTTCACCTTCCTTTTTTCTAACAACTATAAGTAGAATTTGACAATTAAAAAGGTAGCTCCTAAGTTTTGTTCATATCGTCATTCAAAAACACAAAAAAAAAAAAAAATCAATAAATGCATAAAAGAGAACACAAGGAATTAAACCGGGACCACTCACTATGCTTGAATCTTTCATTAAATTCTGCATCTTTCTTTTCTTTATTCTCTCGTAAGATCTGCATAGAAGAAGGTAATTATTGCGATCAAATGCAACTTAAAAGCAGTAAAGCAAGTGAATAGAGCATCAACGTGTTCAATGTTAGGAATATGCCACTCAAATAAGAAAGAATATCAACTAAACAGGTCAAAATAGGAGAGACACGATGGTGCAGGACTCTTTTAAAACCAACTCTAAATGATGTTGTCATCTCATGTGAAAACTTACATGAAGACGAGAAACAAATGACATTGATTAATCCAATATCTATGAAATTAAAGTAATAGAAAAAATTCTAGGCAAGGATATTTAATACAAAAGTTCATACATGCCATCTTTGCACCACCAAGAATTTATAAATTTAAACTGCGTAAAATGGCCTTGAAATCCTAGATCTAGTAAATTATAATGGGTTATTTCTTTAAAATAAAAGAACAACAATTGCATTGAAATATACAATCGTGTAAGCAAAAAACTCCAAGTATTCACGTTACTTAAAATGAAATTGATAAATCTCAATCGAGATTTCACAAGAAAAAAAAAAAAAAAAATCATATCATATAAGTAAAAAAAGTCGGTGGAAAATAGAAGATAGCTCGCACAGGCTCAATATATACTTGATAAATGCTTTTTTTTAACAAGTAAAACTCTAAAACAATACCTAAGATAAGACCAAAGACTAAAGGGACAATAGTTTGGAAGGAAGTGCAATTTTAAAAATGAATTGAGAATCTTATTGGATAGAATTATCAATGTAGATATGAAAGTATTTAGAACTTAAATAATTAGCGCATCCAAGAAGACAGTTGACCAAGGGTTAATATAAACTTCAGCAATGTACAAAACATTGCCTGCAGCATCTATCTTCGATTGACATATCCAAGATAGATGACCAGGGATGATACAAACTTGGGTGATGGTACCAGAACAAAGTTCCCGTGCAGCAAGGTCTTTTCTCCATTTCATCCTCGTTGCTTGCTTGATATGTGTTCATTGGATTGCCACCTGTTTATTTCCCGCATTCAACTCCTTCATTTCTAGCTTCCTGCTCCATTGACTCTCTGTTTAATATTAGATCTCAGTTTGATATGCTAGCCTGCTTTCTAATCTCTGTATAGCTGATTCATACTAATTCTAGTATGCTAGCTAAGTCCTTGAGGTGCAGATTGCTAAGCTATGCTTCTGTTTAATCTCTGCTAAGCAGATTAGATCTATCCAAAGTTCACTCTTTCCGATTTGCTATGCTATGCTACTATTTATGCTTCCATTTTCATTCTTTATGTGTAAAGGAAAACTATTTGATATAGGACAATGTAGAATAAGCAAGATGAATGTTGTGTGATGAGGACATCACTCAGAGATTACAACATGTGTACCAGCGACGGAATCGTAGATCAACGGCTACAATTCAAAGTCTTTACTTTTGATATATTTTATGTTTTATTTATTTTTGCATTTCAGTTTTCCTAGTTTACCCTACGGGTAGTGAGTTCTTATTGTAGCCCTGAGGGCATTTGAGTCTTTTTTTTTCTTTTATTTGTGATTGAGACCTATATATAGTAGTCTTGTGCTTTGTAAAAGCTTAATGAATGATTGAATGAAAATTTGATGTTTGTCTTCTTCTTCTTGTGTGTGCACTAGAGAGAAGAGAGAGCCCGAGGTGAGGGCGAATGCAATACCCACTAGTCATTGGCAAAGTCCGTGGCTCATGGCTTATCTTCTTTTTCCCTTCTTCTTCTCCCCACCCGTCGGCCCACCCCAACATCTCTAACTTCACCCCAACTCCACCTCCAAAGCCCCTCCACCTGCCGGCTCAAACCCCCTCCCCTTCTCCTACTCGACGCCATCCTTTCTCCTTCCCATTGCCGCCAGCTCACTCCATAGCCACCACCATTATGATGATTTCAATCATCATAATTGCTTTCCTAAATTAACTCAAGGAAGAAAGGAAAGGAATTATTATTATTTGAAATTCAAATTTGAATTTCAAATACTTTCCTTATTTACAAATTCTAATTTAGGAAAGTGCATAAATCTAAGTCTAATTTAAATTTAAATTAGATTTGATTTATTATTCTCCTTCCTAAATTACATGATTTATTTTGGAAGCTTTTAAATCCCTCCCCAACTCCCTCCCTCTCTCAATGGCCGGCCCCCCTTATTGTCCACCTCCTTTGATTTTCCTCTTTAAGCCCTAAATCCTATTTGAATTTGAAATCAAATTTCAAATTCAATTCCCTCACAAGTTACTTAAATCTGAAATTAATTTCAGATTTATTCACAACCACTTCACCCAAATCCTAAACCTAACTTAGCCCACAAGCCTCCCCTCTCTCCCTCTCTCCTTGGCCGCCCCTTCCTCTCCCCTTATCTCTCTTGGAAATCTCAATCTTTCATGAGTTCTAGAGCAAAAAGAAGAGAAGACAAACTCTCTCCTCCCATCTATCTTTAGTGCATGGCCGACCCTAAGGTCGACCACGGATTCGAATACAACGCTCAAGGAGAAATCGACATCTTGTTATCTCCTTTCTTTGATCCAGACTGGGCATATAAGGATTCTGTGGAAAGCTACGTCAACCGCATACTCTACCACCTCGCCGAGATGATTGACGAGCAACGACCCACGGGACATTGGCAAATCGCCGGAAGACCCACAACTTCCCCTCCTCCGGTTACTTCTCCGACGGACAAGACCCTACGCGTCACTTGTCTTGTGGCGGCATCTCTAAAGTTGCTTCTACCCTTTCTCTGCTAAACCCCAATTTCAAAAGCGAGGGTGAAGGAACTCTGGGTGAACACTTCTCATTGTTATGCCATGGATTTTTTTTTATTGCCATTAGTTTTACTTTCTTATTTTGTTATTACTTGCAGGTATCTTGTTAATCTCATTTGTAATTGCTTACTATTACTTGATCTTCTAACAGAAAATTCTAAGAATCCAACTTGATGAAACATAAGTTTATCATTAGCAAACTTAAAGTTCAAATTATTGTTAAATTCCAAAAGCAATTCTGGTTCATTTATATGTTTCACATCACTGTGAGATGCATAATAAATGCTCAAAAACTTTTTCATCATCATCTAACCTCAATTAATTTTGATAATTTGTTGGATTGGTCGCATTACCCTTTTACTTCCCCCTTTTCGCTTTCAAACGAGTTGCATCCTGTAAAATCCGCAAAATGTCATTTTAGACCTCGCACGCTTTTCGATGTATCGCGACGAGTTTTAAGTGAACTTTTTTCAAAGCGGTCGGAATTTGACACAATAAATTTTATAAAATAGTGCGCAAAATTCTGAGCGAATCGATGTATAGAACCCATATTGGATTTTAAGCATTTTGGGAGTTAAAATTTCTGGAAATCTCATTATGACAGTTTTGCCCTTGATGACTTCTGAATATAGATGATTTTAAGTAAGGGCTTTTAGGTAAATAGGCAATTAATGAGAGGATCCCACTCTAAATAGGGGACCGAAATGTTTCGGTCCCCATTCCTTCGTGCATCCCGAACCGAGAGAAGAAAGGAGAAGGGGCGTCGGGTAGGAGCGGCGATGGGAGGTTCTAGAGGCAGTTTCCGGCGACGGTTTGCGAGGGAAATTGAAGGAAACTTGTAAGGAATGTTAAGGTACGTTGTTTGCAAGAGTTTCATCTTTTTTTCATGGAGTTTTCACTAAGGGAAGAAATTCATGATTTTATAGAAATACAAGTTTTCTTTGAGATAAGTTTAGGAAAAGTTAGGGGGATATTTCTAAACCCAAATATGAGTTGATTTCATGAAAAATGTGGATTTTAAAATTTAGGGTTTCACTCAATGTTGATTTTCTTTTGAAATGTCTTCACAAAAGTAACTCCTAATGACATAAGAGAGAGCCTCTATTTGAAAAATAATGCAAGATGTGGAAAAATTTTAAGTTTTAAAAATTAGGATATTCCCTAATCATGAAATTTTTTAGCTTTATGATTTTAAATGAATTTGGGAAGGTTTTTAGAGGCAAATTTAGGGCTTTTGCATAAAATTATAGTTTTTCTAAATTTTGATTTAAAATATTCCAAAAATTATTTATATTTTAATTATTATTTGACGGTAGGGAAAGATGTTTGCATGCATAAAAACTTAAGATTATGACTAAATCCTAATTTAGAGAAAATAAGAGTGAGATATGTCATGAAATGGTAGAGGGGTTTAATTTGAGAGCATGGACATAGCATAGGGATGAGTTCTTTATTATCATAGATTAAGGATTTAGGAAGTTTATATGAGGACTAGTGATATTTACACAATATGTATGTCTCTTTTAGATATTGAACGCGTAGAGGGAAGGATTTGATCGAACAATCGGAAGTTTGTGCACAAGTTGAGGTAAGTAAAATGTGGCTCTTTTAAATTCAGAAAAAGAAAATTCTTTTCTTTCCACGATAGCATGTTCTTGTATTGTTATGGGATTCTTAGCATTATTGCAATTGTATTTTTCTTCTACATCCTACCATGCTCCTAAATGTCATGCAACATGTTCTTATTATTAGCTTAATAATATGTACTCATGTAGAAAGATTTAGAGACACTTGACCATATGCCTACTACAATGCACATGTTTTATTTATGTGATAGTTTACAATGCAAGTGCCTTTCTCATGTGGTAGTTTGTAATGCAATTGTATCCTTCTCATGTGATGATTAAAGAAAGTACATAGCTCATGTCTCTTTTCTCATGAAACAATGTAATCAAATGATACTTCTGAGACGGGTGATTATAAATTATGTATTATATTATATGCATAAGAAGCATCACATGAATCATGAAAACAAATCATGCAATATATAAGGAAATTGGTTGCAAGCTTATCCAAGGAAAGAGACTTAAGTGATGACGAGAGGCATGCTAGTTAAATGTTATGACATGTTTATTGTTCCTACACTAGAAGCATGGGCATACATGTTACCTCTTTACTTTGTTTTCTGAAATTTAATTGAAAAGCATTTACCTACTGAGTTATGGCTCGCCCATGTTGTGAAAAAT